GGGTTACCAAAAGAAACTACACAATTTGCTCAAGAAACTCCCTGAAAAAGCACAAGAACAAATCTGCACAGACACACCCCTGGAACCCTGACCAGGGGTATTCTATCTGCTATCCAAGATCCATAAACCTGGAAATCCTGGATGCCCCATCATCTCAGGCATTGGCACCCTGACAGCAGGATTGTCTGGCTATGTAGACTCCCTCCTCAGTCCCTACGCTTCCAGAACTCCCAGCTATCTTCGAGATACCACTGACTTCCTGAGGAAACTACAATCCATCGGTGATCTTCCTGAAAACACCATCCTGGTCACTATGGATGTAGAAGCCCTCTACACCAACATTCCACACAAAGATGGACTACAAGCCAACAGGAACAGTATCCCCGATAATGTCACGGCAAACCTGGTGACTGAACTTTGTGATTTTGCCCTCACACACAACTATTTCACATTTAGGGACAATGTATACCTTCAAATCAGCAGCACTGCTATGGGTACCCACATGGCCCCACAGTATGCCAATATTTTTATGGCTGACTTAGAACAATGCTTCCTCAGCTCTCATCCCCTAATGCCCCTACTCTACTTGCGCTACATGGGATGACATCTTCAAATCAGACGTCAAGAATTATAACATTCAAAAACCAGTTGGAGAACACTTCAATCTCTTTGGTCACTTGATTACAGACCTAAAAGTTGCAATTCTTCAACAAAAAAACTTCAAAAACAGACTCCAATGAGAGACTGCTGAATTGGAATTAATTTGCAAACTGGATACAATTAACTTAGGCTTGAATAAAGACTGGGAGTGGATGGGTCATTACACAAAGTAAACAATTTCCCCATGTTTATTCCCCCCCCCCTCCACTGTTCCTCAGACGTTCTTGTCAACTGCTGGAAATGGCCCACCTTGATTATCACTACAAAAGGTTCCCCCCTCCCCCGCTCTCCTGCTGGTAATAGCTCACCTTAAGAGATCACTCTCGTTACAGTGTGTATGGTAACACCCATTGTTTCATGTTCTCTATGTATATAAATCTCCCCACTGTATTTTCCACTGAATGCATCCGATGAAGTGAGCTGTAGCTCACGAAAGCTTATGCTCAAATAAATCTGTTAGTCTGTAAGGTGCCACAAGTACTCCTTTACTTTGTTCTTAGTATGTATTTGGAGGCTCACAAAGATTCTGTGGAGTAGCATCCACTGAGGCAGCCTGGAACCGAACAGAACCCTTAAGAAATTAAATATGGCATTGACTAGTCATAATATGACCTGCTAACTCTTAGTATTTTGAAAAAATACACAGCTGAATTCTACAAATTAGTCAATCTCTTTTACATATGCAGTCTTTTTCTGAATATATATATAAAATCTTCATGAGAGAGAAACAGAAAGCATCTCATGAGCTGTTGTGTTTAATGGGTAAATAACAGGCTTCTAAAAACGCATATGGAAGAAATGAACGGATACCATTCAGGTCTCCTAGACACATAAAGTTGTACTTAAGTCATCACTTACTCTTGTTTTTCTGATAAATACAAAGCTCTTTAGAAACCTAACCTCATGCATTAGTACCCAAACAGGGAAGATATTATGTAATTAATAATAGTCTCCTGTGAAGGCTTTTATTCCCCCCCCCGCCCCCCAAAAAAAGAGCATTACATGCTCATGTGTCTCTTCAAATATGTGAAGTCCTTGCACTCCCCATACCTCTCAAGGAAGACGCGCTATATCGCAGTCTGTAAAGTGCCACGGTCCAGGTCTGTGACTGATACTGATGGAATCAGTAGCCCAACGTAAGGGATCCTGCAGCAATAAGAGGGCTAGTATCATGATCTACTTCAGGCATCAGCTATGTGAACTGATGTTGGGATTTGGTTTACTCTGGACTAGGGGAAATTGCATATCTCCTAAATTAGGGTGGTAAAAGGGGGGCAATGTGGGTTGCGGGGGTGGAGGGGAGGGAGACATGCAACCAAAAATTAGCCTGATCCAGCAGGATACAGGTGATCTATTGAAGTTTTTGCTGCTTGCTTCCACCCAAATATGTTGAGGTTTGCTGAAGTAAGTGTGGGGGATGAGGAGAGAGAGACAGCAGAAGCAATACAGTACTTCTTTCCTCTGTTTTGATTTACAGTTGCATTTGTGACCAAAATTTGGTATGATTTGACAGGATCCAGATGAGAAAGCTGAGTTTTTGCAGGGCTATTGTGATCAGATGCGTCCAGGTCTGGATTTCTGAGATGCACTAGGAGCAGGTAAACATGTTCTCTAAAGTAGTGGCATCTTGGAAACTGGAGCCAAAATCTGGCAGGATCTAGCAGCAGGATTTGCAGCATCGTTGTTGGGATGTGTTCAGCTTTTTGTTGTTGTTGCTGGAACAATGTATTTAAACAACGAAACAAAGTATCGGGACCAAGTATTAGTTGCTCCAGCAGATACTAGATGTCATATTTGACTGTATTGCTGGGCCAGGATGCATCAGGGTCAGGGTGTCTGAAGAGGAGCATTGATATTTGTTCTCTGTTTATGCAGTAGAAATTGTTGCACTGAGACCAACAAGTGTCAGGATCCAGCTTTTAGCTCCCCCTCCCAACATTCTTTCTAAGTTCTACGACAAATGTGTCTAGAGTCAACATACCAACCACTTTATGGTCACGGTTGGAATATTTGAGGCTACAAATTTGCCCTAGTTGTAACCTCATTTGTAAAAAGTATTGTAACATCTTGCGAACTTTCATATAACATAGAATAAAAAAATGGTGGTGGAAAGTAGGTTAATTTGCTTTCAGTAATAAATGTTATAAACAGGTGCAAGAGAACCAGACAGTGAGACTACATTACTCCAAACAGTAAAGGCCATGCTGATATGACTAAGGACTATGCTTGGAAAAAATGGAAGATAAATGAATCAAAGTTGGTGTGTCAGATAATAGGCCTAGGTCTGTCGATTAATCACAGTTAACTCACGCGATTAACTCAAAAAAATTAACCGCACTTTTAATCGGACTGTTAAACAATAGAATACCAATTGAAATTTATTAAATATTTTTGGATGTTTTTCTACATTCTCAAATATATTGATTTCTTTTACAACACAATACAAAGTGTACAGCGCTCACTTTATTTTTTATTACAAACATTTGCACTGTAAAAATGATAAAGAAATAGTATTTTTCAATTCACCTAATACAAGTACTCAAGTGCAATCTCTTTATCATGAAAGTTCAATTTACAAAATGTAGAATTATGTACAAAAAAAATAACCGCACCCAAAAACAAAACAGTGTAAAACTTTAGCGCCTTCAAGTCCACTCAGTCCTACTTCTTGTTCAGCCAGTCAAACATGTTTGTTTACATTTATGGGAGATAATGCTGCCCGTTTTTTATTTACAATGTCACCTGAAGGTGAGAAAAGGCATTTGCATGGCACTTTTGTAGCTGGCATTGCAAGGTATTTACGTGCCAGATATGCTAAACATTAGTATGTCCCTTCATGCTTTGGCCCCCATTCCAGAGGACACGCTTCCATGCTGATGACGCTCGTTAAAAAAATGTGTTAATTAAATTTGTGACTGAACTCCTTGGGGAGAATTTGCAAAAAGAAAAGGAGTACTTGTGGCACCTTAGAGACTAACCAATTTATTTGAGCATCAGCTTTCGTGAGCTACAGCTCACTTCATCGGATGCATCAAATAAATTTGTTAGTCTCTAAGATGCCACAAGTACTCCTTTTCTTTTTGCGAATACAAACTAACACAGTTGCTACTCAAACTTGGGGAGAATTGTAATCTTGGATGATGACCAGCACGTGTTGTTCGTTTTAAGAACACTTTCGCTGCAGATTTGACAAAAGAAGGTACTAATGTAAGATTTCTAAAGATAGCTACAGCACTCCACCCAACATTTAAGAATCTGAAGTGTCTTCCAAAATCTGAGAGGGATGAGGTGTGGAGCATGCTTTCAGAAGTCTAAAAGAGCAACACTCCAATGCGGAAACTACAGAACTGAACCACCAAAAAAGAAAATCAACCTTCTGCTGGTGACATCAGACTCAGATGTTGAAAATGAATATGCATCTTTCTGCACTGCTTTGGATTGTAATCAAGCAGAATGTGTCATCGGCATGGACGCATCTGGCATGTAAATATCTTGTGATGTCAGCTACAACAGTGCCATGCAAACGCCTGTTCTCATTTTCAGGTGACATTGTAAACAAGAAGCAAGCAGCATTATCTCCTGCAAATGTAAACAAACTTGTTTGAGTGACTGGCTGAACAAGAAATAGGACTGAGTGGACTTATAGGCGCTAAAGTTTTACATTGTTGAATACAGTTATTTTTTGTACATAATTCTACATTTGTAAATTCAATTTTCATGATAGAGATTGCACTACATTATTCATATTAGGTGAATTGAAAAATACTATTTCTTGTTTTTTACAAATATTTGTAATAAAAAATAATATAAAGTGAGCACTGTACACTTTGTATTCTGTGTGGTATTTGAAATCAATATATTTGAAAATGAAAAAAAATCCACAAATGTTTAAATAAATGGTATTCTATCATTCTTTAACAGTGCGCTTAATCACAGTTAATTTTTTTAATTGCTTGACAGCCCTAATTAGGCCTAATTTGTGGGCAAAATATTCATCCCTCTCTGGGTCACCGCAAGAGGAGTCCGAGAACAAAACTGCAGGATGTGTTAATTAATTAGACCCTTACCAAGCAACAGGAGGTTTGAAATTCAAAAAGGAGACCTTTGCAATAAAGACTTGCTAGTGACAGAAAAGCCCACTTTCAAACGCCACCAGTGGAACCACAAGGGCTTTTGTTGGCCATGGATGGTGTGTGGGGGAGATAAATTTGAACTCCCACGGTCCCTCAAATCACCACCCCTGTTAAGTGCCCAGGAATCATCCTGCCCTGGAAAATAAACGGAGTAAAGAGAGCGGGAGAGAGCGCCAGCAGGAGGGGGTGGGGGAAAGGGGTACTCACTGCCTTGGCTGCTGGAGCTGCCGGGGGCTGGGTAGCCGCGGGCTCGCTACGAAGGCGTCTTGCCTGGCTAGGGGAAGGCACCTGAAGCGGGGCACACGCCGCATGCAGAGCCCTCCCTTCCCCGCTCGCTCACCAGGGATTGGGAAACTGGGAGTTTTAGCAGCTGGGCCGGGCTGCCGTGTGGGTTAGCGGGGACTGGCCCGACTCCGTGCTCGCCAGCTGCCCCAGCGGTGAACCAGCCGCCCCCAGCTGGCTTTACGGGAACCGCGGCTTGGAGCGGGAGGGGGCTGCGCTTCCCAGGCTCCTTCTGGGGCCGGCGGCGCGGGGGCCTGCGCCGCTGCCACAGTGCCTCAGGCCGGGGCCGGGTGCTTCACCCCCGCCAAGGCTGACGGGCGGGCAGCCAGCGCATTCCTCCTGGGGCCGCCGCTCTCCGCCGCGACGGTGCGGTGGGAATTTCCCTGCCTGGCTGACTCCAGCTCGGGGAAGTTGAATCAGTTCCGCGGGCTGGAGGCGCCGTTTTCCCAGGCGGAGGAGGCTGGGACTTGCTTTATCTTGGCCCGTTGCCCCCGGGGCCTGCTGGGGAGGCAGGCCCGAGGAGGAGGATTGAATTAGGGCCGCGGGCGGGGTGCAGGGAGCTAGTCCGACAAGCAGGCGAGGGGCCGAGAGCGCTGCTGGTGTCCCGCGTGCGGAGAGGGGCCGGGGTTGAGTCTCGCACCGGGTTCGCTAATACGTGTTAGCTACCCCGGACCTGCGCGCGCTGGCCTTAGGAAGCACTTTTAGCTGGTCGGGTTCTGGGCTCCTGCCTCCGGGCTGTCACCCAGCCAGAGTGTGGGCTAAACCCAACCTCAACTCGACCGCTTTTCGTACGGGGGCGGGGGAGACTGGAGGTTGAATGCGGAGCCTCGAGGGCGAGACTGGGGACGGACACAGCAAAGAGACAGGACTCAGGCCACGAGGAGGAGCAGTTGTGGGGGTATAAGAAGGAGTTGGTGCAGGGACAGAAAGGGGTCGACCTGGGGCTGGGGGAAGAGGGCGAACAGGCAGAAGAGTCTGATCGCTAGAACACGCTCTCTCCAAAACCTGGAATGGAATCCAAGACTCCTGAGTCTCATCACCCTTCCTGTGCTCTCAGCAAACATCCCTGTATCTCAAATCTCCCTCTGTCTAGTATAGTGGATGAGGACCAAGTACTCTTATCTGTTACTCAGGTAGTTGAAGTGGAAGGGGTCTGTGCAGTGGATCTAAAGGTTCCAATCCTGTTAATGACCCAGTATGATTCTGCATGACTGAAATTCTGTTTTTAAAGTTTGGGGTTTTTTGAGAAACCTAGGAAATTATATAGTATACACACACTATGTTAAACGAATGCTAGATTGAAAAGGCAAGCAGTTAAAAATTAGGAAATACCAGTATTAAGGCTACCTCTGCATATGCATTATGACAGTCTTTAATTATGTGATCCCATTCTATTTTTCCACAGAATCCTGCTTCATTCAGTACACAGGATGGACCAAGTTCTGTGACTGAATCAGGGTTGGGTAGTGAAGGAGACTGTTGTCTGTAAGTGCCCTGTCTCATTTTGTGCAAAAGCTGGAAGGTGTGTAGTGAATGAATGTAGTGAAGTAGGGGATTGCAGGTAGAGCAAGGGTGGTTTCATGGTTAAGCCAGTTGAATGCTGCCGTGGAGAAGTGGATTATATTGCTGCCTCTTCCACAAAGTTTCGGGTGAGTCACTTAAAGCAAACTTTTCTCAGATGGCCATTGTATGTTCGTCATTTTTTGAGGGCTCTACTTGCAACACTGGGGCTAAGCAGTCACAGCTGCAACTGAAGTCGATGGGAGTGCTGCTTTGAATCAGTACAATCCTATATAATGCTAAGTACCTTGAAAATCAGATCCTAGGCAACCAAAATTAGTGGACACTTGATTTTAATCTCTCTGTGTCTCAGTTCCCTCCCACCTCACAGGGATACTATGAAAATAAATCAGTTAATGTTTATGAATCACTCAGATACCATTGTGATGAGCAGCACAGAAAAGCCTATGAGGAAATGAATAATTCTGTATTCAGATCATGGCTTGAATAATAAAGATGGCACGGAGTATATTTTTCCTCTGGGAAAAATAGTGTGTAATCAAGTAATTAAAGACTGTATCATAATGCATGTAACCAGGGGGCTGAATTAAGTTTGCACAGGCAACCTTACTTCGGGCATTTCCTAACTTTTGAGTGAGACATTGCAACCTTAATATCTTCTTAAGGTAATGTGTGGTGGGGGTCGTATTTTAAAGACACGATATGAAGCCAAGTCCATCTGAGTTTCCTAGTCTGTATTTGAATATTTGTCTTTTAGGCCGTGCTTCTGCAATTACATCCACATAAGCATCCACCTGGAACATTGCTGAAATCAATAGGGTCATGGGTGGCGAATTCTGTGGGCACCTGGTGCCTCGGCACCAGGGATATTCCTGGCCCGGGACCCAGCTCTAGCAATGTTTGCGGCCAGGTCTCTCCCTCGGCCCCACCTTCCACCCCTGGGTGCTCCCCTCACCGCTTGTCCCCCAGGCAATTTAAAACAGCCCAGGGCCCCCACCCACCACCAGGCAGCACAGCGGAGCTGAGCAGCTTCCTGCCTGCTTGCTACACATGGCTGCCGGCCTCTCCCTGCGGTCCCTGGGGAGGGCGGGTCTGTGTCTACCCACACTGCTCTTGCCCCAAGTGCCTCTGTGGCCAATAGGATGCTGCAGGGGCTGTGCCTGGGGGTAGCAGCACACGGAGGCCCCCCCAGTCTGCCCTGCCTAGGAGCCCCCAGTAAGGGCTGCACCCCCCACCTCCTCCCATAGCCTGCATCCCCACCCCTTTCCCATGCCCCCTCCCACCCCCAAACTCCCTTCCAAAGCCTGAACCCCCACCCCAGAGCCTGCACCCAAACTCCAACCCAGAGCCTGCACCCCTCACCCCTTCCTGCCCCCACACCCCCTACCCCAGCCTGGAGCCTGCACCCAAACTCTCTCCCAGAGCTTGCACCCCTCATCCCCTCCTGCACTCCCACCCCCTGCCCCAGCCTGCACTCAGCACCGAAACTCCATCCCAGAGCCTGCACCCCAGACCCCCTCCCCCACCCAAATTACCTGCCAGAGCCCAACCTCTCACCCCTTCTGCACCCAAACTCCTTCCCAGAGCCTGCACTCCAATCCCCTGCCCCGGCCCAGGGCCTGCACCCCAGACCTCCTCCCTCCACCCAAACTCCCTCCCAGAGCCTTAGGCAGGTCGGGGGTGAAGTTTGGGGGGCAGGAGTTTGGGCACCACTAAAATTTCTACAAATCTGCCGCCCCTAAATAGGGTTCTTCTTCTTCGAGTGCTTGTTCACGTCCATTCCACATTAGGTGTGCGCGTGCGCTGCATGCACAAGAGTCGGAAACTTTTTCCCATAGCGGCTCCCTTTGGGCGGTGGCTTCCCCCCCCCCCGAGTGGCACCACTGCGCTGTGCATAAATATCCCTGCCGGCCCAACCCCCTCCAGTTCCTTCTTACCGTCCATGGTGGTGCTGGAACAACCTCTCTCTCTCTCGTAGAAGAGCAGTCCCTTAGCCTTTTCAGAGTAGCTGTTATCAGTTAGTTAACATACCTTTTTTGTGGACACTTAAGTGATTAGGTGCTTGGAAGCTTCCAGCACCCGCCCCAGGCCGCAGGGCATGCGGCAAGCACACGGCTTCAAGGCTTGCGCCACGTGCCGCAAACCTATGCCAGTTAGTGACCCCCACGACTCGTGTCTACGTTGCCTGGGGGACGGACATCAAACTGAGCGGTGTAGGATTTGCAAGGTGTTTAAGCCAAGAACAAGGAAAGAAAGAGACTTTCTTTTAAAGCCACGTTGCAGCCAACGGGCCTGGAGTGCCCGACACGGCTCAGGCTTCCTCGGTGCATAGTGCCCCGGAGCCGTCGAGAGACCCGGCACCAGCTATGCACCATAAACTGTCAGCCCCAGAGTGCCAGACTAGGCCCCAGCACTGCTCGTCCTCTCCGGTGCAGCCCCCGGTGCAACTGAAAGGAAGGCGCAGTCGTTCCCCGTACAGAAGGCCAGCGCCTCTCAAGGCCCCAAGCACCGGGAAGGCCGTTGTACCGACACCGGTGGTCCCGGCAGCACAAGCCGCACCAAGCCCAGACCTAAATGAGCTCAGTGCGGACAATGCGCTCGAGGACATAATGGATCAGCCCTCCAGGCCTGGCACCTTTTAGGCTGCAAAGGACCTCATCGAGCTGTCGGCAGCAAGTCCCCTCCAGCATAGGGAGAACCCTCTGGCACCCATGCCACAGGTGCTGTCGAGGGGTAAGCTGGCAATGGTGTGCCGCTCGATGACGCCATCCTGGCACCACTCCCAGAGTTGGTCCTGGTCAAGCTCCAACTCCGCAGACTCACAGTTACCAGCAGCCCAGAAGAAGGTCGCGGCACCGGGAGTGGGTCGGCACGAGGAAGCACCGGAAAGGGCACACCGCTCTCCGGCACCACCCAGAGACTGGCACTGGGAGGGGTTGAGACGGCCCTCGCCAGAGGACTTCTGCAGACGGTCCCGGTCCAGGGAATGCTGGCACCGGTCCTGGTCCAGGTCCCGGTCCCGGTCCTGGGGATACCAGTACCGCTCCTGCTCAGTCAGGAGCCACTCGTTCTCCCACCAACGCAGATCGTTGGCACCACTGTGGCCTTCGCGATCAGCATCGCCGCAGTCTGGCACCAACTCCAGCTGCTATAGTTACCCACACCGGGCCCCGGACAGCAGGGACCCTCAAGTGGGCTGGCAACCACAACAGGGGCTGCCAGGCCATTGGCCCTTCTGGACCCCCTGGGCCTATTAGGAGCACCAAGGGGCCCTGTCAAGGGCAAGTTACTCGGTGCAGCAGTCCCGGTCCTCGCACCGATGCCAGACGGTGCCGGAGGCTACAGTATCCAGGCCTCCAGCATCCCCCCAGGATAGACTGGAGAGACCAGCACTGAGTCTGGTGCCATCCCATGGACTCCTGCCCCAGCCCAAGCCGGAGGCCCCTCCCATGGGAGAAGGGGAGCAGGAGGACCAGCCAAAGGGGGTCGAGCAGCAGCTATCCTCCTCGTCATCCCTGGATGAGGCGGTGGCGGGTACGGCAGTGTCCGGCCCTCCACCGATAGACCATAGAGCCCATCAGGAGTTGCTGCGCAGGGTCATCCAGAACTTGGGATTGCAGGCTGAGGAGACGGTTGAGCAGGAGGACCTCATGGTGGACATTTTGAGCCCCAAAGGTCCATCCAGAATAGCACTCCCGCTCATTAAGACCATTCAGTCCAACTATAACACTATATGGCAGACCCCG